GCATGGTTGCACCTTGTGGAACGAAGTTCCAGCCAGTGTAGCCCGCGGGATCGTTGCAGCACTGAAGCCCGACCACCACGTCAAGGTGGCAGCTTTAGGTCGGGGAAATGCAATGATCGATCGACAGAATCAAACGCACACTTGAAATCAAGGAATACGAAGATTGTAGGCCGCCATACATGTAGCGTTATTATAACACCTGACGGAGTGCGAAGATGTGGTCAACGCGACGTCTACCCAGTCGAAATTCCGCTTGGTGCTCACGGGCCAAGAAATCGCGTGACAGCGTAAGACGACGAAGAACCGGGGACGCCAAAAGCTTTGTTACAGTGGGAGTCAAACTATCACCCCTATGATCACTACATTCACTGCCAGTGCTTTTCTTCAAGACGAGCACAACTTTCCGCACTTGTCCGGGAGGGCCCATTTCTTTCAGATATACTCCAATGGACTAGACAGGTATTCACTAGGGAATTCACCATCATCCTTGAACAGAGTAGGTGGAATGTCGTTAGGACCAGCAGCATGATGACACTTGAATAGAGATAGACACTCGGATACATCTGAGTTTGAAAGGGGTTCTATATTCACAGTTCACCTTTATACTTAAGAACAGGATTCCAGATTAGAAGTAATAGATAGCCAACTGAAATGCTGTTCGAAGTAGCGACCTACTGGTCCAGACGTTCGGCTTTGCTAGATATCCGAGAGCCATTCTGGTTTCTGATAATTTCGCTGATAGGAGACTTCCAAAGATCAGTCAAATGAATCAAGCGGAACAACTTGCAGACGTTTCCAGCATTTCTTGCATCTTTCCTTTCTTCAGCCTTTCGGTCCACGCGGACACTCGGTTTCACCTGTCGTTGGATGGAATGGTGGAATGGTGGTTGCGGACCTCCAACAAAATCACGGTCCTCTCAGAGATCCAATGTTTGGATGGGGTTGGCTGGGTTGTACCGCAGAAGTTCCGACCTTGGGTAACGCTCTGGATAGCTTCTCCCAGTGACCGTTGATATCCGACATCAGACCATCTGGCAGGTGTTCGAGGGGCAAATTCTTACAGGTTCTTTTGATTTCTGGGCCTTCTCGGTGGCTAAGAAAGGCGTGCGCGTCTTGCAGACCTGAAAAGCACAATGAAAATCAGCGGTGCATAAGTACATTCTCGGAATTCACACGGGTATTCCAGGAGGCAGGCAGTGACCGGCTCTCGCCACGGGAAACTGACTTCCATTTGGCCTGTTTGGATTCGGGACTAGTTCATTGGTGGGCACCACGCTTTCCAGCGATTACTGCTGTTCCGAAGATTGCTACTCCAAATGAACAGTTTGTGATAGGCACACATACGAAGCAGGCGATTTCCGCGCGTCTCGTGTCCAAGTCAAGACGATCACCCGATGGGGCCTCAGCAGCGATTAGTCTACCTACCGCCACAGCAACCACAATGTCCGTGCTTTTAGCATCTGATGTCATAGAAACGGTCTTCGACAGATTCGGGACTATAGTCCGTTGTGGATCCATTTGGCTTGGATTCGGGACTAGTTCATTGGTGGGCACCACGCTTTCCAGCGATTACTGCTGTTCCGAAGATTGCTACTCCAAATGAACAGTTTGTGATAGGCACACATACGAAGCAGGCGATTTCCGCGCGTCTCGTGTCCAAGTCAAGACGATCACCCGATGGGGCCTCAGCAGCGATTAGTCTACCTACCGCCACAGCAACCACAATGTCCGTGCTTTTAGCATCTGATGTCATAGAAACGGTCTTCGACAGATTCGGGACTATAGTCCGTTGTGGATAAGAAGACAACAGAGAGCGATATACCTCACCTCGAAATTATTTTACAGACTGTCAGACGAACCGCAGAGAGGCTACTGTCAAACGGCAGCCAATCAAGTACAGACGCTACTACTCGGTCGATCGATACGCTTTAGTCGTTTTGTTGGAAATTGAAGTTTTTGGAGGCACTCGATGTTACAAGCTGCGTTAAGCGCCAAATTTTGCAGGGACAGTGGGGGTGGCTTCGTCATTCGACAAATAGTCTGCACGATCAGTAACCCATATTGGAGGTGGTGATCCACACCAACAGTCGATGTCCCCCTTGGTCTCTGTGACCAGCCGGCTGATCCTCCTGTTTGCCGATGTCCGCAGGATCCGCTACTGCTGCGATAAATGACCTTGTCCCCATGCGAGGAAAATCAACATGGACACTAACCAGGTAAGTGCGCACGCTGCCCTGATACCGTCTTCGTTAGTAGCCGGGAAAACGTAGCCGTCCTGCCATTAAGCGAGTACGCAGAAGAACATGGTGCTATATGAATCTCGACCGATTCAAGTGTTTAAGGTCGTCACTGAAGTCGGACTTACAGAAGCTGCGGCTGAGCGTGTTACATAGTGAACAAAGTGGTCAGTCATAGTTTTGGGACACGCGGGGAAAGTAATAAAACCTTGGCGCAGTAAGGAAAAAAGCGAAAATTTAAAGGTGTAGGAAGGAGGACGTCAGCAGTAACGTCTTTGCTTGTCTGTCCTACTGTATGCAGAAAGTAAGGCGACCAGAATGCTCACACCCCTCATCGGCCGACGAGGCGTGAGATATATTTTAGTTGTAATTACCACGGTTGTATGTGCGATTGGATACTATCAGGGCGCTCACATTTATACAGAACATTTGGGGCCCTCGATCAAAGCTTTAGCTCAAAAGCCTGATCACAAGACAGCGGTGTTTGGCGGCAAATACCAGTGCATTGCCATTTTTATAGAACAAGTCGCCATACATGTCCCAACCCTCAGATTGGAGGACCAGGACACTGTCTGTCGGACCTGTAACCACTGGCCTATTCGGTATAAGACTCCGCGAGAGCCGCTAGTGTAACTCAGTCGGGCACAAAAGCACACAAACCATCATACCACGGTAACGTCCAGTGTATTCTTACAATTCCCACGACGGATACTGCATGTTAAGTTGGTACTAAAATTGACAATGCCAATCCTGGGTGAAAGACCGTGCTAATAACACCCATATTATAGGTAAGCCACTTCTACCAATAAACACCTTATGTTATCCCGAAGAAGGCACACAAAACAAGACAGATGTCGGTAAACGATTTTGCAGCATACGTAACACGTGGTCGAGCCACTGCAAATGACGGCACTGGATGGTTCCCACAACTGAAATATCCCCGCACAACACCCGTCTTCGAAGTACGTTGTCACCCTAAGGCATTGGACTTACCATTTGAGATGACTGAGCCTCGGAATGGTAGTACATGAGTCTCCAACTATCCTATTGCACACCTAGGTGTCCAAACTGTGTACAGGATGCTTGCCCATTGCCTTTTTAAATGTAGTGTCAAAGGTAACGCGATCTAGCATCCGAGGTTATGCGGCACCGCATCTTTGGGTAGCGGGAGCATAAGCAGGTCACATTGGCTAATGTGCAATTATAAACTCTATCACACATGTAGTACGCACGTTATGAAAGCATAGTGGGACGACTCTACGAAGCTAGGGGCTCAAAAGAATTCCTGGAGATGGGGAAACGGAAGAAACCTCATAATCCGAACTGCCAGGAACTTCATACCGCAGACGTAAAAGCATGTAGTATACTGGTTCCGCCAGTTTATTGATCGCCAGGATTGATGTAAAATCTCGCTTACTAAGCATCGGCTCATGGGTTTCTTTTTGTTTTCCATCCATAGAAACTGTTGTGGTACTTCCACAGCGTGCATATTACACGTGTAGTATGCATACTTTGGAAGCACCAGCGGTCACTGATTCTCCGAAGGTAGGGTTCACGACAGAATCCTTGGACCGAACACGTAAAGATCATGAGCTGAAGCCCAGTAAGCAAAGTTGTACATCACCAATACTTACACATAAATCAACAAAATCGGCAGACACAACATACTACATTCGCCCCCTTTTGAAGAACGCCACTCTCTGGTGTGCAGTGCCTACGAGAATCGGCCGATGCTGGTGGTGTGCGTGGGTGGTGAATGTGGGCATGCGATGAATACACAGCCTGCATTTTGATTGGTCGTTTGTGCACAAGGCATAAACCGCGGACATGTAAATAGAGCTTGTGCCGTTGGCTATTTGGGCGCTCCGTATTCGCACAATGAAATTGAATTTTTGAAAGTTATAACGTGTCCCTGATGGACTAAGGTTATCGGGCAATGGAGTTGAGAGTACTAATCTAGACTTTTAAGCCCCAGTTAGGCATCCAGGGGTTTTAGCGATGCTCGGAAATTGTTACACAGGACTTTTCAACCAGGGACATGATTACCACAGTGAACAATGGAATTTAGTGGATATACACTGCTGATGAGCTCTAATAAGAACGAAACTCGAGTCCAGTGCTTCCTTTTTGTGTGGACTCACCGGAATGATTACGTCAGGATAGGAACACGGCCGTTCAAGCGAGAACGGTGTGGCTATGGACAAAATACCCAACCCGCAAAACCCCGAAATTTAGTGAGTTGAAAAAAATATGAACGCAGCTTAAGACGGTTTTTGGTTTGAGCGCACAGTCATCAAAATGCACCATTTTGACGTAGAAAGCTCTACTCCACTTGTAAAGTTTTCGCGCCCTATTCCTCTGAAACCGCTGCTCGGAAAAAGGAAACTTTAGAATTTGATGGTGATTATTCGGGCGCTTAAGGTTTCCTCACGCAGCCGCAGTTTCATTGGAAGTTGTTTGAACGAACTCGAGGCCCACTGTGTGCGCAGAATTTTAATGGCTGACGGTGATCTTGTCCATCGTCTCTATGAGAAGGGCAGGAAGTTTTGTGGAAAAACTGATTTCTTCGCGTGGTTCCTTACGTCGTAGATTTGGAAGTAACCTCAAACCGTTTTAGACAATAATCGCATCCATTACATCCGCGCACGCTCAAACTGAAGTGGACGTTCGCCGCCTGGAAGAAAATATCTTCTATGGTTGCTGCAAGCGTCCCGCTGAAGTCGTCACAGTTAGTGTAAGATCCGGATGGTTAAGGATCTCACAGGACGATTGCGACTATCAGATTATACGCAGTTCGTAGCCAGTAGTCAATAGGTGCAGACAGACGTGGGGCAGTAGATGATATATTGAAGACTGACAGGAACTGGTTCTACAGAAAACGGATTAGTAAGCATCATGAATTAAGAAAACGTACAATCAACAATGACGCAATCTGCAGGAGCGG